CTCTCCGTGTTGTAACGTCTCACAAGAGTCTACTTCCGGCCAAACAGTGAGTGACATCTGTTTGAAAAAAAGTGCCTTAAAAAATACGCATATTTGACTGCCTGTTCCGGACGCTTGCGATTCAGCAGAAAAATTTCGTTTTTCCCTTTTATACGCGTATACTAATACTTTGTGAGGCAACACAGTCTGACAGCGAATAACAATAATGATAATAATATTCTCTTTAAACTCTTCCCTTTGCGTAAGATATTACTTAATTTTAAGAGCAACTTCAGATGCTTTTCAGCTATTCAATGAAATTTGCATATGAAGTAAAGGCGGTAACATTAATTAGCTATTGTTCTTTAATTTAGTATTTATTTTATATTAGCGCGCATTGGTGTCTCTGAGAAATATACAAGCCCCTTCCGGGGCTGCCAAAATTTTGGTGGAGTATGTTCACTAATGTAATCAGTGCTTATCATGAACCTCAAAATAATGAGCAAACAGATTGTCACAAATATTTTTAAGAAAATATTTTCCCCTGAAATAAGACTCTGACTACAGGCCAAGAGATTGGGTCTGTCATCCATATTTCTTCTCAAAAAAACAATATACAACGTTGATCGCAGCATTACGCTCCGAATCAAAGATGTCTTCCATTTCACTCCATTTTCACAGCCCCTCGTTTCAGTCAGGTTGCAGGTTCAGCAACTTCATGAGGCTTTACTTCAGGGTATCTGTCTTCGGACACTATGTTCATTATATTGAATTAATGTTATCAATTATCAAGTGAATAGCCATGCTTGACTAATTAACAATTATACCGTAACTGCATGGAACTAATTGGCTTCTACGCTGAGCGTCGAGACAATAGCAGAAAGTAAAATAAACAATTCCAAATCGGTTACAGCATCACTTCCACTACTTGTTACTGGAATTGGCCGGTAATTGGTCACGAATCGTGCCAGCCGTGTCAGAAATGACTTCATCATAAAAACCGTCATTCCAATGGTTATGAACTTTCCTTTTCTTCCTTCCAACACTCAATGTTGATTAACACAATATCTGCGTTCGAGTCGGAAGTGCTCTTTACCCATGCAGTAGCCGCTTTCTTGCAGCAAAGTGATTGCAGCCGGATATGTGTAGCTGTTGCAGCAAACGACTTTAATAGCTTCCTACAATTAATAATTTTTTTTTCTTTAAACGCTCATTGTGCTGCAGGGTTCCGTTCCTCCTAGTGGTTCCTTCTTTTCAAAGGATCTCAATCATAGCGCTTTTTAATAATATTAAGTTAGTGTTAAATAATTCATTTTATATTTTCT